TTCTGGTGATGATCACAGTCCATATGCCAACCTCAAAAAACAATATCTACCAAACGGAGTATTAAATGTAGTAAATTCACAACTTGAATCTGGCAGTTTAATTTGCCAAAATGCTTTGTTTGCATCTAAAATACTAAACATCTTCGCATTTGTCATTTGAGATAAAATTTCTTCAAAAGTTGGTTATGATAATGTTCTCTCAGTATATTTTGGTTAAGGTGGTGAGGATCTAAATATAGTCTTAAATTACCATCCTTTTTTCTTACTTTAACTAATGAATTCACAAATTCTGTAGAATGATTAACTTTATAATACCATCTTTTTCCATTCTTACCAATTCCCTTTTTAATGGTTTTAATAAGCTATGATAGGTATATCCAGTTAAATTCTCTATTCCTTTAAATAAATCTTGATATCCTTTATAAGATTCTGGTAATTTTTCATTAGAATCAGGATTTACTATACAAATCCTTTGTACTAGATTTAATTTGCGCGGACTCCTTTAAATGTCGGTTCACTTTTCAACTATGCCACAAAAATGTTAAGAGTTCTGCATTATATTTAAGAAATTAAATAATGAAAATTTGCATATCCCCTTGTGATAAAACAATGGTATATTAGCCATCAATTTGAATGATGTAATCCTACTGCGAATATGGGCATCGAAAGCCAAATTGAAACTTGGATTTGTTTATTATCGATTTCATATTTTGTAAAACTTTAATGAATTTTAGAGTAACAAACTCAACGATTTAAAAGCGAGCAATGGCAACACTCTAAGGGGGGGGGAATCTTTCTATCTTCAGCGTGTCGAACTGTGTATCGGGAATTCTAAAGATGTGCTCACTTTAAAACTATTTTGCGACATTGCTATTGAATTAAATTTTATGGTTTAAGTGCAAAGAACATGATATTTAATAAATAAAGTTAACACACAAAACGTTACGCCCGTTATTAGAATGTGAGTAAGTGCATCCAGCTCCTTATTTTTGTTTATGTTATTTGCTTTTTTTGTTAGGAAAGTGCATTCAGCTGACTATAGCAGGTGAACTTCCGTGATGGAAATCTCAAGACCAGTTAACTTTTTTCCTATTTATTTTGAAACTTAACCTAAGCTTTCTTGGTTAATTAAAAAGTAACAATACAGCATTATTACAGACTATCGACTTTCTCGACGCATATAATGTGTCTTACTCGATCACATTTCTCAGGAAAGAGCCAGAGTTTTTATTTTTATTACTCGATTTAATAGGTCATTATATATACTGCTTTGAATGGTCATTATATATAATGACCGAGGCATTATGATATATAATGTATTTATTGACATATAATATATGACTTGATCAGTAACGGATATCCCACCAGTGTGGGGTCTTTCCTTGATCACTTTCCGGTCATCGTGGCGGACATTTTTTCGATCTATAAAAACAGAAAATTTTCTAATATAAACCTGATGTCACACAGGGTTTGAGGATGAAATATTTCTGGGTGTCTTTTGAAGAAGTTTTGGACATGTGTTGGGGTTATATTCAGCGTTATTACGTTATCCATGGCTAAGAGTCCGAGATACCTAACTGAAAAACTGTGTAACTGGAAGACATTTTTTGAAAATTTGCGTTTACAGAAAAAGTAATAAAGGCAGGAGAAGATGCATTGTGTGCACTAAAAAAAAAAAAGGAAAAGCGAATGCAAACAACGTATTTTGAGTGAAAAATATGCAATGTAGGGCTGTGTGTCAATCTTTATTTTGAATTATTCCACATACAGCAGAATTTTTAAATTGGAATTTAACTACAGATAATTCTTGCTTAATTTTCTTTTTGTAATTTTGTCTTCATGTTTACAGTATTTATTTCTGTGCATATAGTTATGATTTTAGTATCTTGCCCATTTAATTTATATCTATTAATGTGATATTCCTTATATTAATATATATTAAAAACAAGTACGGTTGATCTTTACATTATGGTAACTTGGCGTTTTTTTTGGCGACCAACTCTCCTACAGCAACCCTCTATTTTTTTTTTCCGCCGTCATTTTGTCTTCACAAAGTAAAGACATGTTTCTTTTCTTTTTATCTACTGAACACTTCTTCCAACAATCTACTAGCCAAATTACATTTATGCTAGAAATTTTATCTAACAAAACTGCTTAATCATGACAAATATTCACTGCAAAATTGGGGAAAAGTGCACAATACCATAGTCCTTACGTTTTTTTCAAAAAACACATACATATAAACCATGTACACGCCGACTTATTTTTACTTAAACAAACATCCCAGAATTACACAAAAATGGCATTGCGCACACTCTTCACTATATCCATGTACACTGCTTTTTTCTCATATATTAGAAAAATTTCACGAAAATACATGACAATTTTCTGAATCTTTAAACCCGGTAAAAAGAACACATATGAAATTACCTGATCGCGAAAAAGTACATACCCTTTCCAAATATGAACATTTCCCCGTATAAAATAAATAAAATATCCAAAAACTTTTACCTCTACATTATCTATTATATTACAAACGTCACTAACTAATTCATACCTTTACTTCATTACAAATGGTTACAAATACTTAGTATCAAATATTTAAATTATTTCCATGCACGTTTACGCAAATTACTTTACTTTCACCTTACATTTAGAACAATGAATAAAAATAATATCCTCAAATAATTAAAAATACTAACTTACCTATTCTTCTTCAGAATCTTGATTACGTGTCCCATAAACTTTTCTTATTTCTGTTTCAGGATCTTTAAAATCATACTTGTAGTTCACACCAAGGTACCAGGTAAAATAAATAACTTAATAAAACATCTTTACTTCTATCTCGCACAACCTTAAAGAAACACTTATTACCCCTTTCAATCCCACTAAATACCCATTTCGAATTCACTTTAGTTAGGGCCATGGGATCCAAAAATTAACGAACACTGTTTCACACAACACAGAATAAAGGCAAATACAAAATTTCCAGATTTTTTCCAGATTTCCCCCCTTTTCCGATTAAAGAACCGTAATTCGTCCATTAATATCACATGATCTCTCATTTCCCTCACACAAAATAATGCGTAATCGTAACTGAGTACTGCTCACATTATTACCAAAGTCCCAGGTAGTAACCTTTATCGCCTCCAAAATGTCGCCAAACTACCAGTTACCATATTGTAAAGATCAGCCAACAAGTACATTAAATACGCAACTTCAAAAATTGACGTCATTGCATCAAAATGGTAATTGTTTTTGTAAAATTAGGCTTAACTGCTGAAAATGCGCAGGCTGATGGCGACGATCCATTTCAGCGAGTTTGGTCCTGTGACTATGCTTCGTTCTCTGTCCACTGGTCCTTAAGGAGTTAAATCTGTTCAAAAATTATCAAACGATTCACCTATTGAGAGATTGTGTTCACAAATGTCATTGAATCATAACTGTGTTCGACAGAAATATATCGGTCTATCAACAATTTGGTTTGCCACTTCTCTCCAGCTAATACAGTTAATGAAGTGTGACATAGAATTGAAGCAGCATGGAATGAGTTGCCCATTTCTGTCATCCACGACTCCATGCCTAATGGGATAAGAGCCATTATAATTGCTTGGGTTGAAAGCAATTGCTACCAATTCCAGACACCTGCAAACCTCCAAAATGCTTACAAATTTAATCATTTTGTCTTCATGCCATACTGTTTACGTGCAATAAATATCTTTTTCATATTTGCTTTCCTTCATGGTGTTGCAATTTTAATGGCCAGCAGTGTACATCATTACAATGCAAAAAGTATTTGCCACATGTCAGTGACATCATCCAGAATTTTTTTTTTTTTTCTTTATTTCAAATCTTAAAAACTATAACTTACTAATTAACACAAGCAAAAACTAGACATTCAGACAGAGATATTCACAACTGATAATATGAGACAATCTGTCTTAATAAAAATAGTACTATATCACAATTTAAATTTTTTGTATTTAACAAATATAGTTTTATGATCAAATAAAACTCTGAAACAAATAGAAAAGCATTTTCAACACTACTAAGACTTCTAACAATGCTGTTTAGTAAACTTAATATCAAGAATGGCTCTCTAATTCACATGAGGTTTAACAATCACATATTATTTTAATCTTCAGTATTTCTTGATAATAAAGTATAAGAATGAATATAATGGGAATTGACAATAAGTATATAAGATATCTTAAATATTCACTTTCCTTATTTAAAAGGAAATTGGGTATCTTAAATATTTAGTTTCTTTACTTAAAGCTCTCAAGTTATTGTAAATAAATACTGATAACATTTTGCTAATGAATGCATTCCTCCCCCCCCCAAACATGTAAAAAAAGCAGTTTGTTACTTGAGTACTTTCCTGTTACCCGGACTCCGGGAATGTATGTATGTATCCAAACATGTAATGTGTGTGTTTATATATACATGAATAAATATATACATACACCCATATATACGTGCATGGCATACATTTTTGTATCCACTCTGGATATGAGTGAAATACAGTTACTTGTTTTGATAAAGCAGACAAAGACGTATGCATTTTGAAAGACACGAATATTACATTTTCACATGGCAAGTGAAAAAATACACCCCTTCATAATGCAATCATCAAAAGTGCAAGTTAATAATAATTGGACTAAAAATGGATAATATTTTAGACGACATCATGTAACTTAAGTTCAGCCACAATGTAAGGTAACCACAGGACACGTTGGATAGGTTCCTGAGATAAAGTATCTTTCCTAAACTAAGAGGGGGTGCGAAGTCTGTTATTTTCACTACAAGTTTCAGTTTCTTGATGCGGCATATATTATTGAATATTTTAAAACAGCAAATGTAATTTATTTCCTACAATTAAACTATAGCTAACTAAAACACGCCACAGACTAGAAAACAAGATCACAAAATCTTTCAAAAGAAAAGGATATTCAAAAACGAAATCAAAATGTTTAAAATAAAACTCAATGTTTCCTTACCTTCTGCTTAAAAAAAAAAACATCGTAATCATAACTGCTACATTTTTGTAAAAGACAAATCAAAAGCAAAATGTAAAAATTCATTTCTATCGTAAAACATACGTCTAATGAACAAACACTACCTCTAAGTGTAACTACAAAAATAAACAGATAATGAACAAGGCGCCGAATTTCTCGTGATCATACTTTTAGTTGCCATATTCGTTTACAGCAATATTTTATTATAAGATAAATATTAAACAGAATTAAAACTTTTCACGTATGAGTTCTGTAATTTCAGGTTGACTCTAAAATAACATTTTTTTACATTTATCAATGAAATCAATATATGAATTGTAAGTAATGATTTAACATGAGATCCACGGCTTTTAGTTAATTATTTATTTTCATAAGTAGCGTCTAAAATAGAGTGCTGTTATAACAATTTTTACCGTCTGTTGTATCGTTAGTCTTCCCACCGTCTGGGAAATTGCCAAACTTTATACTCCTGCATTTGGTAGTATTACTGAAACAATAGAATCGTGTTGGAAGATTCTGAAACTAAAGATCGTACACGACATATGGTGTACTCACATTCTTTCTCAGATGCATGATGGAAGATTCATTAATAAAAGTGATGACAGTGTTTTAGCTATTCTGGGCAATATTCGAAAGACCAAGGAAGGTTTCAATTATGAGGCTCACGAGCTTAATGACATTATCCTCACACCAACAAGCATTAATTATCATCACCAAGAAAGGGTTCCACAAAGAGATAAATTTAGTGTCGAATTGTTAAGAATAAACAAATGGGAAACTGCCTTCTATGGTGAAAAAAAGTAAAAACACTGAAGGGCTTAATTTAATAATTTTGAAATCGAAAAGGGACGGAATCAATTTTGAAGGGTTACATCACGAATTTAGAAACGATTCTATGTTTCTTTGACCAATGGTAATGTGGCCTAACAACACGAGAAAGTAAGGCTTCTCTAAACCTATATAGGAGCCTTACGAGAAAGGAACCACTCGCGATAGGTCATTGACGTCGCAAGTGATTCGGGACTGGGAAAGGATAAGGCTCCTCTAATAAGGCTTTCCTAAGGCTATATAGGAGCCTTAGGAAAGGAGAGATGCGGAAACTCGTTAAGTGCGTTAGATTTAAGAGACAGGGCCAGATCTGCCTCTGAGAAGAAACTGGGTTGATAAATAAACAAATAGCTTTAGTTTCAAGTGTTACGATCCAATAATACAAAAGATAAATTATCTTAAAGAAAAATTAAAGTTTAACATTAGAAGGTGCACGCGAAACCTATAACTGGGAAAAAAGACGTGTTTAAGTTAAATGGCAACAGCTTACGGTTGAAAGAGATAAAAAGCCTATTTACGGAATAAAGAGAGTGAACCTGAAAGAAAAGCGAATTTGCTCAGGCGATAGGGGGTCGAAGAGTGATAGCTTTAGCTTCAAGGCGCCTCGTCTCCATAGCAACAGCTCTTAGGAAATGGTCACGCATTATATGCGTTTTCCAGAGCTTTAACGCGTTATATGCGTTTCTTCTTTGAGGAAGCAATTCCAGGATGATAAATAGGCAATGAATGGAGAACGGGGTTTCCGATCTTAGGAATCTTTTTGGAAAAGTTTACCAAAAGTCGCTGTATAAAGAGATTCCAGGGAAGAATTTTGACAGCATTATGAATATCCTCATTTGTAACAAGCCAAAGAGCTTCGTAAATTTACCGTAGCATAATATTTTGGAAAATTTGCATATGTTGTCTGTTAGTAATTGCTGCTACGCCCCATACGGGACTTGCATATGTCAAAACGGGTCTTATGATTGGCTTGTAGAACAAAAGCTTGCTTTGTGTGGAAAGGCCACTTTTTATAGCTAAAAATGGCAGTAACTGGAATTTGACAACCTTCGCATTGGAAACATTTTTGAATGTGAGGCTGTCAAGTTTATTTAGAACCAAATATCACTCCTAGATATTTGTAAGTGGGCAATATTCGTAATGCATGTAGATGAACTACTCATAAAAACTCAAGGTAGAAAGGAATTCACTTATGTTTTTGGTTCGCAAAACTGGATGGAATTAAAATTTAATTAAGAATTTAATTGGTTGTTTAGTTAATTAATGAAATCATTTTTCACTTATACATTCTTAATAATTTTTACATATAAAAATTAAGTTCTAGTGGAGCCAATCTAAGGAATAAATTGCTAACTAAAAAGCGTCTATCGCATATTACATCATTACTGAATTACATTATTTTATTGTTTCAAATATGCACATCCGTAAAAATAATTGTAGAAGAAAGTATCATTAGTACTTATTTTGTCTAAAACAAAGACCAAACTAATTACTAGATATTAAGTTATTCGCTCTCAAGCGAAGTAAATAAAATATCTATGGGAATTTTTATGAACAAAAAGCTATACTGGAAGTTTTAGGACAATTAGGGAGTAAAATTAGAATAAGAAAGACTAGAATAAATAAAAGTAAATAAATAAAGAAATCAAAATTAAATAAAAAAATTAAAAAGTCAATAAAAATAAGATAAATAAAAAAAATAAATACTTGAATAAAATAAATAAAATTAAATTAAATTATATACTACAACAAGAATTTTACATTTAATAATTTCAGTGTTATTTTAGTAATGAAATTTTTGAATTTTAAAAGTTAAACAAACATTCTCTTGCAATCACTTTGCTAGGTAGGCGCATAATACTCTTGGTGGAATCATTCACTGAATTAAATAACATTTTTTATTTCTAATTCTGAATGTTCCGATGTGTTTTAGATTCAAAACTAGTTAATTAAAAAAAAAAAAACAATATACTACATTTTTTGTGAAAATACAAATACGCGCCAAAGAAATTCTTTTTCCTTGCATTAAAGAATAATAATAGTATGGTTAAAACTTAAAAATGTCACTTAATTTGTGCTTATACTAGTTTCATTACTTGATTTTAAAACTTTTGATAATTAAATTATGTATTTTGTTGTCCCAGTAAATAATTTTAAAATGCTTTTTCATACTGATTCAGAAGTCAAACAACATATTCATATTTAATGCGAGTTAAAATTACAAAATTTTTAGATTTTGACCTGCATAAAATATTATTCTTGGGTATTTAAACAGCTGTTACCGCTTTTGTATTTTTTACTTTCTATTCAAGGCTTTTATTTCCGGTATCCTGTCTTAACTGTAGGTCGAAGTGTCAAAAATAAAATTACTATGTTCTGTCCATTGATATGTGTGTGCTCTCCGTAAACTAGTGAATGAAAGGCGGCGCAACTGAGGAAGTGTGCAAATAAGGGGAAAGGCTAATCAAAATGGCGGTAAGCAATCGTGGAAGGAACATACAGGCCATGAATATTACATCGCTATTTAGCCGCCTACAGGGTGCATTTTCCGAAGCAATGGCTACACCAAAGTTTGTAATTGATCGACGAACAATTGAGAAGACTTGGAAACTAATGGATAAGGTAGTAAAATTGTGCCAACACCCAAAAATGAACTTGAAAAATAGTCCTCCGTTTATATTAGACATCCTTCCTGACACGTATCAGCACCTCCGCACTATTTATCATAAACATGAAGACAAAATGTATTTATTGAATGAAAATGAGTATTTTCGAATATTTATAGATAATTTAAACCGCAAGTGTAAACAAGCTATTAAGCTTTTCAAAGAAGGCAAAGAGAAAATGTTTGACGAATCTTCACACTTCCGAAGAAATTTAACTAAACTTAGTTTGGTTTTCAGTCATATGTTGTCAGAACTTAAAGCTATTTATCCTAATGGTAGTTACGCTGGTGATAGTTTCAGAATAACGAAAAGTGATGCTGCCGAATTTTGGAAGAATGCCTTTGGAGAAAGGTATAATACTATGTTTACATTCTTGTTTTGTTTACTTTATGTGTAAAAATGTATTAAGTGTGCAAGCGCTAGTTTAAATACGTAATGGTACATTTGAAAGGAAACTAGTATTATCTTCTTTTACTATTAATATAATTTGTTTATACTTTTTTTTGTATGAATGTGTAGTTGAAATTTTTTCGAGTTATAAGTCTTAGTACACTGTGTGACACCTCATTTTATAAATTTTCAGAATGCCGAAATTATTTTAAATTTACCACATATATAATTAAAGGCTTCACTTTTTTTTTTTTTTTTTTTTAAATTTTGTATAAGATGTTTATTATGGTGTTTTTGCTGTGTAGGAATTCAGAATTATAGGCATTCTGTAGCAGTTTACTGTTGGGTAATTTAAAAAGATCAAGGTTGTCATTCATGTCTCATTTTTTTAGGCGCCAAACTGCTGATTGCTTGTTGCGCCAAACTACTGTTTGAGTTCAATCTGAGACAAACGGGCTGTGTGTATGGTTGGTTTTCGTGTTTGTCTGCACGTGTAACATGTGTAGAAGCCAGTTTCCTTTAGAAAGTTTTCCAGGAAGACTTCCTTCCCTGTAGGTAGATAGACCTCATAGCTTTGCCATATTCAAACAACTTTTGCAGCTGAGGATGATGGTTTGGTAAAACCATCGAAACTAGTCCTGTGAAAATATAACGCTGATTTTAGTTGTTTGTCTTCTAAGTTAATTCTTTGAGCATTATGACAAGCTTTATCCAGTCTTCAGAAGTCTAGCTATTATATATTAGCTTATGATTTATTTATATTTTATATATATGTTAGCTTATAATTTATTTTGCTTTCTTTCTTTAACAATGTAAATATCATCTTAATGAATGTAAATTTATGAAAATACAGACTAAAATAAGTAATTATACAAACTCTATTAATAAATGCTGTTAAAATACCGGTCTTCATGACGGATCTAAAATCCTTTGCACTCAGAGGGTTAATAACTTTATCCTGTTTTTCATGCTTAAAAAATTACAGAACAAATTTTCGGTACAGCTTGAGTATAAGACCCCATTGGCGACTTTTGGCTTGGCACACTTTTTGGACGGTTGTTTTTCTGGTAACCCAGCAAATTCTAGAATACTCCACTTCGGCAACCCTGTCGCATTCCCGCGTGTTTTAAACTGGAAAGTGACATTTACTTCGAAGGAGCAAAATATTGTTGTATTGAACAAATTTCTCGAAATTGTAAGGGTGATAAACTGGGCAGAGTATAGGATTTCTTTGTAAATTTACCATGATTTTGTAAACTAACTATCCAGCATTTCTTTTATTTTTAATTTAAACATGTATTCTGAATTCCTGTTTTCAGTTTTATAACTTAAAACTTGCATTTTCAATATTGCTGCTTAAAATATGCCTCCATGTACTTGTGTATTTTCAAACTTTTCTTTACTTTTAATTTAAACATGCATTCTTAACTCCTATTTTCAATTTCATATTTCTAATTTAAACATGTATTCTGAGCTCCTATTTTCAATTTTACAGCTTGTAATTTGTATTTTCAGTATGACTGCTAAAAATATGCCATTATTTATTTATTTTCAGTTTCACTGTTTACATATATATTCTAAATTTGTATTTAAAATTTTTCTTGTTAAAATGTGCATTCTAACATCTATTTTCAATATTACTACTTAAAATGTGCCCCTACTTACTTATGTACCTTCAAATTTGCTGTTTAAACATATATTCTAAAATTTTTTCTGGTTAAAACGTGCTTTCAAACTTGTGTTTTCAATTTTAACGTCTTTTCCATGGCTTGGTGACATTTTTGGTCGCCAAGCCAAAAAATCGCCAATGGGGCCCTATACTCAAGCTGTTCCCAAATTTTCAGTTTGTTAGCTAAATGCAAGTTAAAACAATGTGTCGGTAAATTAATATTTTCCCCCATTTTGGTAAATTAATGTTATGATAACAACGGATTGACTAGACTGGAGATTACGGTCCAGTAGCCAAATGAAGCGAAATCGTGCCTATTTTGGGGAGTAAACTGCAGAATTGCCCATCTATTTGTTTGACGCTTTTTACAAGAGTAAGAAGAATTGGATTTTTGTCAATTTTCGGCTAAAGTGCAGAATCATCCACTTATTTGTTTGGCGCTTTTTACAAGAGTAAGAAGAATTGGATTTTTGTCAATTTTCTTTGACTTTTCAAGTGAAAATAGGTCGATGTGTACATGGATAAAGTTAAGGGAGTGCACAATGCTATTTTTGTGCAATTATGGGATGTTTTTTTAAGTGAAAATAGGTTGATGTGTACATGGATACCGAGTATGTGCAATTCTTAAAAACGCACTAAGCAGTGTGCGATTCTGCACTTTCACCCAATTTTCTGTGACTTTTTAAGTGAAAATAGGTCGATGTGTACATGGATAGGAACAGCTTGCGTATAACCCCATTTTTTCGCCAACGGTAAAAATCGCCAAAACTCTCGCCAATCTGCAACACTGGGGTCTGGCAACCTGATGTAAGCAGCAGAATTGAATTTTCATGTACTTAAACACTCGGATATTACTTTTATTATTATTATTATTAGATTTGCAGTGTTATTAAAATGGCAAGCAGGCAATAAGATTTGATAACTAGCATTTTATCATTTTTATTGTAAGACTAGCATTTTATCAATGTTTAAAATGGGTATTTTGAATTTTTTATATGTTAAATCAAAAAATTTGTTGAAAATTTAGATATTTCTTAATTTTTTTATGAAATGTAATTCGGATTTTTTTTTTTTTTTTCTCTGAAGCGGAAGATGGAATTCCAATCAACTTATGTACATTTTTGAAAAATTTTTTTTTTTTTTTCAATTTGTTGCTCTGAAAATATGGGAGAAATTATTCAATGACTAACAAATTATTTGATTCAAATCCTTAAAATTATTTAGCTTTATGCAATAACCAGTCTTAAGAGTGAAATTTCCATTCAATTTAATTCACTTAAATTTTTATACTCCCTAATTTTATGACAAATTTTCTGATGTGGCAAAATTATTTTCGAAGGCATCAAATAAATTTCAATATATTTTATCTTTGAGAAAGCACACATATGCACACACCACAAAAAAAAAAAAATAAAAAACACTTATCTTGATTTCCATCATAAAATTATTTCTTTAATGCAAATTTAGAAAACTTATAATAATATATGTTAAAAATTTGCTGATAAGATCTTCACAATACTAACATAGACACAAATACTTATTAATGATACTTTTGAATAACAAAGCAAAAGTCACCCACCATTCAATTTCACGAACAATTTCTAAAAATTTTATGACTATGTCCAATTCTTTTGCTGCACACTGTTTCGAGAACATGTATTCTTCTACGTACAATGCAAAGTCTCCATTTCTCTTATATTGGGGTATCTGTGTTTTAATGTGCCGCCATGTATCTTTAATTGTATTTGTGTGTGCTCCTGTAATTTCATCCACAAAAGAAATGCTATGGTTTACAGTTAAGTGGTCAAATCCAGGGTGTCTAAGCTTCAAATAAGCCCTCCAGCAGTCTGATATTATAGTTGTTCTTGGGCGAATCCACACTTGAATAACACTGATAAGTGTTTGTGCTGTACGATCATGCACAACCACACAAAAAAAAGATTCTCCACTATCACGTTCAGTACCTCCAAACACACACTGCCCTTCAGCATTGATGCCCCGATGATACTTTCATAAATTTTAACTGTTTTACCAGGTCCACCAATCATCTGGCTGTTCATTTCAATGTACTCCAGAATTGTCTCTCTTATGCATTGGCTCCAGGATGCCATTTGATGTTTGATCCAAAACCATATTCTTTCATTATCTTTGATGTAGGAATTTTTTCGAGCACATTATATGTCAACACAAAGATTTCAGCTATGGTCAGTTTGCTTTTTAAAAATCATGACGATACTCGAATAATCTTTAAAGTATAGCAAACACTGCTGTTATTTGTTTTTTTCCCACAGTGCCATGTTATGCCATCTGAGAGTTTGCGATCATTTTTTACAACCATCGAACAGTGGCATTTAGGACACAGAATACTTCTCTGAATTAGCTCAGCCTCCTTTAAAAAATTCAAGCAAAATTTCTTGTTTTGTGCGCAGAAACACAAACAGCCTAGTGGGGATACCATTTTTTCCCCAACAATTACCAAGTTTGACAAGAATTGGCTATAATGCTTTGATATTTTCCTATTATACTCTTTAATGGTGCAATATTACTAAAATATAAATTTCTTTAAATAGTTTTTAATATAAAATTGCAGTTAGAATAATGTTTAAAAATACAAAAGTAAAAGAATGTAAAATTAAAATGTAATATGTATAAATTTTTATAATAGCAAAATATCTGTAAATAAAATATAATGAATTACAACTAAATAAAGAATAAATAATATATAAATATACAATAAGTTGAATAAGATCAAAATGAATAATAAAATACTATATCAAATGTTACATTGAAACAGTTAAAATTAAATATAATAAATAATAATACACTGAAATGGTAACAAAATATCAATATTTAAGATTAAAGAAAAAAAGCAAAAGTTGAATAAAAAACTAATAATAACAAAAAACAAGAAGAGCTCTGGCATACGCACCACGTAAAGAAAAAACTACATAAAGAAGTAGATTCTCCCACCAGAAACTAGGCCGTAGATGTGCCAGAAACGCTTTCCTGCCTTCTGTAGCGTTTCTGTCACATCTACCATAATTGGCGCATTATCTGCCACTTGGCGAGTTAGAATAGTGTTGGCAAGAAAAAAGTCAAGGGAGTGCACAATGCCATTTTTGTGCAATTCTGGGATTTTTTTTTTAACGAAAAAATAGGTCGATGGGTACATGGATAAAATCAAGGGAATGCACAATGCCATTTTTGTGCAATTCTGGGATATTTTTTTTAAGTGAAAATAGGTCGATGTACATGGATACCAAGTATGTACAATTCTTCAAAACACGCCATG